GCCCTGGCCTCACTGATGTTGTCATGGTATTAGCAGTAACTCCACAGTAAAACAGCCTTCAATTTTTTTCAAATGAGAAATTAAGTGCCTCCATTAGCTACAAGGAAGCTGTAAACGATACCCAGCATCAGTGATCAGATACAGCTGACATTCAGTTGTCCTAGGCAGGAGCTTTCTGAGCTCCTCACAGCTGCAAGAAGGGGCTAAAGAAAATATATACAAAAAATATAAGAGAAGACACTGCCAATACTGAGGACCTCCATCAGCCACTGCAAAACACAAAAGACAAGGTAGTATCTCACACACTCTTTTAGCCAAGGGCTTGCAGGGATAAGTTCCTGCCCAGCTCAACCCACAAAAATAACAGTGGGACTCAACTGGTATCACATGCTCAATAAACGACAGGCTATTTCAGCATGACATGCAAACACCTTCAATCTAGCATGCACTTGCAAGCTCCTTCGCACACTGCATGCTTCYGTACCATTAGAACTTGCAAAGCAAATGCTGAAAGAGTTCCCAATACTAGAAGCTGTATCTAGGCGTGATTCCAGATTAACAGCCAAGTGAAGTACTCAAAGATACCTCCTGATCAATGACAGTGTCAGGGTACATAAACATTTAAAGTTACCTTTATTGCTCAGGATTTTACCTAACTTTATACCTTGCTCAGGGAGTCTACTCTCACCTGAATCTCCTCTTGTAGAGCCCCATCACACCCCTTGACTTCACTTTAGTAGAACATATGTGGATCCCATTCGGATTCCACTCGCCTTTCTCATGTAGTGTTCTTTCCATTAAAGAATATGAATTGCTAGTTTACAGGAATCCTTCTTCCACTGGTCTCTCTTGCCCACATGGTGATCAAGACTTACAACACAGGGGAGCGACAGCTGCACAATTACTAAAACTGGAAGAAAACCAACAAAAAGCCACACTGTACAGCCCATCTCCTATGGTCCCATCCTTTCCATCTCCCCTCTGATGCTGTTCCCTGGGGTTGCACCCTTCCCTCCCTCCCTCCATTCACAACACTTTGCAGGGCTACTTGAACATCACAGCTTTGTGGGAAGGGAAATGYCTTCCCTTGGAAAAAAACATATTACAGAATGGATGCCTATTGAGGTCCAGATTTCATTTTCTTGGGTGACACCAATTTGCCAAGGAAAGACGATTAATGATGGGGAAAAAAGCAAACAAACAAACATTGTTGGCCTACACTGGGGGTTAGGATGAGTAGTAGGGGTGAGTGAAGAGATTTAAATGAAATGCTGGAGGGCCGGCAGCGCGGGGCTGACCTCTCGCTGTGAGCTTGCTGTAGATCTGCGAGTTGACTTCCTTGTCGCGCATGTAGCACCTGATCTCCTCCGTYGCCTCGCGGATGACGGTGACCGCAAGCACGAACCCCTACAACAGAAAGGGGTGATTGGGGAGAAATAAAAGATAAATAAAAGACCAGGAAAAAGAAAAAAAAAATACATTAAATCCATCCTCTCTCAGCAGCATTCAATCTTTACAAAATACATCTTAACATTAGAGTAAGCATCTACACTAGAATATGTACACAGGATGCTTTAAGAAAACAAGTAAACAGAATGATTTAAGATACAAATTTACACCCCAGGTAAAAGGCAGTAAAAGGTTTTTTTTTTTTTTTTTTTCCTGGAATAAATAAATTACCTACCAGTGGTACCCAGTACGTGTAAAGTGCACCGAGCCTCATTTCAACGACAAACTGAGAGCAGGCCAAGAGCAAGAAATAAAGATTGAAGAAATATTTGAACTGGTTAAACAACACCTAAARAAAGAAGAGGAGGGAGAAGATGAGTTCAGAAGTTATACCTATTGAACTAACTATGAGGAGCTGTTTTGCTAGCTTCTCAGTGTGTGAATGCTAACGTAGGGCAGGCTTTATGCAGCACTGGAAATTCATTTCTAAAGATCAACTTGCTCTGCCTGCTGCAGAGTTGTTGTTGTGAAGCTGCCATGCAGCCAGGCTGAACTCTTCAGCAGAAATATATCATTCCACATTTATTTTAAACTTCTGACAACCCCCCCGCTCTGCAAAGTAATGCTCACACTAAAGAGCAACAGAGCTGGCTACTATATTTAGGTTGCAAAATCATGCTGAGCACATGCCAAAAGAATTCAGTGATCTCAGAAAGTCTGAGTGACTCCTATTTAAATAACCAACACCACAGCACAGAGTGGTTGGACGCTGGGTAGGGCAGGGAGACAGAGAAGGAAGCTTTAAGGGAGCAATCTGCTCTTCCAAGGCTCAGGGACTCTAAAAGGTTCTCGGCATAAGGAAGATGAGGAGGGGAAAACAAAATGGGCCACAGAATGTTCCTGGAGAACCAACCTTGTTTCTCCTGTTCTCTTTCCCCAAAAGAAAACGTGGGATGGCCGAATCCTGCGGCTGCTCTCAAGATCAGGAAACATCATCAAAGCAGCCGCTGCCAGTCCCACACAACCCGGCTCCTCCCTCCCCAGCTTCTGTGACCGGCATTTCAAGGCCTTGCACATCAAGGGAGGCAATGAGGTCCTCCCCGTTTGATCACCACACTAGACAGACACCTGATTTGCTGTTGCCCTGAGCCACCTTTTGCAGGAGGTCCATGAGACACCAGGTCCTTTCTTACTTCTTTTGGCTCAAGTTTTCTACCTGCCCCTCTGCCAAAACCAATGGTAATGGAGAAAGGAATAGGACAGGGAGATGAGAAGTGACTTTGCTCATACTCACCCCAGGGAGGAAAGTGAAGAAGTTGTACTTCTGGTTGTTGATCACATTGCGAGGGTACCTCTGGTCTCTCTTTTCTGGGTGGCCAAGCCAAACGGTCCGAGGCCTCGGCTCTCTTCGCCCGCAGCATCTTAAGCACTCGCAGCACCTAGGGGAGAAGCAAAGTTAATTTTCAACCCATGTTTCTTTGACTTGCACGTGCTTAACAACCCAAATCTTCTCCACAAGTTGAGCATCACTCCTTGGTCCATCACCAACCACCTCTCACCTGCTGATTATCTACTATATCATAAGCACCTTAAAATCAAGACCTCACCATTTTCTCAGGTGCAGACGTCCATCTGCCTTGAGTCCCTGCAGGCCTGACAGTTTGCTGGGCTACAAGAAGACATCTAATCCAGTGTTACAGTCTCTAACAAACATGGGAAGCTCCGTGTACAGAGCTGCACRGACACAAATCAGTGCTTAGACATCCCAGGAGCCAGACGTGCGTATGCGGTCTCCTCAGTTCACTTGCAGGAAACCAACATGTGGGGAAGCATGGACCACACATGGACCACGTTCACTCATACTAGTCCAATACAACTCTTTTACTTGTTTTCTTCTGCAATTTCATCTACTTGGTCAAGAAGAGATGYTCTTGTTTCATTAAATATTTTCTGTTAGTACGTAGCTCATTAATTCTCAATTGTGTAGCTCAAAAATTACTTTTTACATCTTATCACAACAGTTTTCCAGGAAATTCTCCAAGATAAATAGAACAWAAACATTCATATTACGGCATGCTGATTTTCTACTTTCTCAGTTCATGCCCATGTTAAAGATATTAACATTTTCTTGTCCCTTGCTAAAAGTTTCATGGAACCTCTGCAAGCCACAGCACCTCTGCTGTGACTGACCCAGCTACCCAACACTCTCCCCTCTTCTCTCTGCTGAGGGGATAACTGAAATCCCACCCCTGTGGGCTATCCAACACGAGCTGAACGAGCCCTCCGGACACGCACCTAAACCAGGAGCTTGCAGCCATCCTCAGTAGGACCTGCCGCTCGAGCAAGGCCAGCCTGGCTGCCACCTGCCCTACTCACTCAACACTGCACTCGACAAATACAATACACCATCCCTCCACTACAGAGGATCCAAGGGGAGATTCCCCCCCATACAGCTGGGTATTAACACGATACAACAGCACTCCTTGCTTGGAAAGTCACCCTGCTGCCTGTGAACATCCAGCGAGATGCTTCTTCTTCCGGCCAAATGTAGGGATTAGGCTACAGGAAACCAGCAGTGGAGCAGGAGCTGCAGCGCTGGAGCAAATCCAGCTCCCAATAGGTTACCCCAGGAAGATGTGAGGGGTTACCTGCTCCTCCCCAAAGGAAACCTGAAAATAGCCTCTCTTTCCCCAAACTGAAGCGCTGTAACCTCCCAGACCACAAAAGGGTCATTTTTCTCTTGTCACCACTTCTTACTGAAAACCAATCTCTTCCCAGTCCCTCTTGTTCCTTTAGTAACAGCCCTATCAAATTTCCGTGACATTTGGAAAAAGCTCAGGGCAGCCACACTGACTAACCAAGGTTTCAGAGCTCTCACAGAAATCTCTCCAGAAAACAACACTGAGATCTCTCTTGAATTACAGCTTTCCGCTGCAAGGATAGAGCTAACTACATATGTAACGGAAAGAAATAAAATAAATAACCATTTGGGGAAGTCCTGGAAGCATCCAGCTCCGAAGCCTCCGTCTTGCTACATAATAACACAATGATAAACAAAATTTACCAGGCATCCTGTCCGAGGTGGCTTTATACAAAGACACCATTCCTTGTTTTATTCTGTGCAGGATGCAAACAAACAGAAACAAGTCTTACCAGTTATGTGAACTCATTCAGCNAAAAAAAAAAAAAAAAAAAAAAAAAAAAAAAAAAAAAAAAAAAAAAAAAAAAAAGATAAAACCCTGGGCTTCAAGGAATATGTACAGAAAAGGTATCCCGATTTGATAGGAGTAGGGAGCAACCACCGTTCTCTACAACCACAGGTGCTGTCTAAACAGAGGAAAACCATTTTATGGCTCAAAGGAGCATGCAAGCTCAAGAGCTAACACGGCTGCAGAGCACAATGCAGCACTATGTACTGTAACCTCACCCATGTACTGCAACATATGTCTGTGTAGCCTCTGCACGGTGTAGACACATCTCTTGCCAGCTCTTGTGAGCTGAAATACTCGTTTCCAACATCTGAATGCTTTTAAGTCTGCCACACTTGGTAAAATTCCCTGCTGCTTTAGCACACACGGATTCACCCRATACAGATATTAGCCAAAATAAACAGCTGGCAGTGCAAACAACTCAAAACACTGATGACTACGAACAGCCAGAACAAGTTACTAGGGTAAAATGATTGAAGATATATTACTGTTCAAGTACATACAAGAGGCATTGGAATTGCTGGGGACTTCTAGTACCACTGCTGCTGCTTCTAATTTCCTTGAAAAAMCATAATCCACATCAGTATCCTAAACTACCAGTATCCTAAGTCAGCCGCAAAAGTTACACTTGCTCCTGAAGTTATCAGGGTCTGTCTGGCTTACAAACATTTTGTTTTTCCTCTTTAGGAAAAAGATAAAAAGGTCTTTCTTTCCCACTGTTGTATACAACTTCATTAAAAAAAAAAAAATAAAAAAAAACAGATATATGGCACTGCATTAAAGTTAAAAGACATTAAAGACATTTTTGAAGTACACTTCAAAAGTTTAACTCCTTTAAATTATTGCAGACAAAGTAGTAAGACAGGTCTTCAAGAATAACTTGTATCCCAAATATATTTTAAAGGAAAATTGTGAAAACAGTGGTAGTCAYGTCACCATTTAATAGAAAATGTATCTGTTTTATGGAACAAATCATTTCCCCTTCTTACGTGATGGAGAAAGACACAAAAGTTTACCCTTGATTTCATGTTTTAACTACTTCGAATTTTGAGTGACCTCTATTATTACGCTCTAAACAAGAGGCTTTTGCCCAAGGGAGCAAACCTGCTCTTTACACACTGGGTTTCATCACAGCTTCCCAGTTCTGGGCACAGCAAGCAGCTCCTGCAATCAGACATCTGAAACCAGCCACCTTTGTTTACTTTTTAGGCTGGGCCTCTTTTAGGGATTTTATTGAACAGCGAGATAAAGAGCCACGTACCTATATCATATTTACAATAGGATAAGCCTTGAACAGGGGACTACTACATCTAATTGGTATTTTACCTTTTTTTTTTTTTTTTATACAGAATAAAACGGCCCTAAAAAGAAATTTTAAAGAAGAAACAAATATAAAATAGCAAATACAATCTCCAAATATCTCATCAAATTTTTAAACCACTATCTGAATTTCCCCAAATCGACTCTGGGATGTTTTAAGAAGAAAATAACATAACAGCCTTTTTCTTTATAAACACATATGAAAATGACAAATGAATCCCACAAACCAGCAGAATGCTTTGCCTTAAGAAGGCAGCACTCTGCCGAACTGTTTACATTTGATTAAACTGCTCTTCACGTTCCTCAAACTACCATGAATCCAATATACCATGAATGCTAGCGCCTATCACGATATCTTAAACACAAGCTTGTGGTCCTGCAAGGCTCCTCACCCACGTGCTTATCTCACCGAGGCACCCACGGCACTAGCCCCCAATGCTGGCAGCAGCCCAAACAGAGGGCAATAGGAGGCAATTTCACAAAAGCAAAATAACCCAAGCTTTAGCACATGTTTTGCAGTGAAAAGCATTACCTCTCACAGCATACCCATCAGGCAGAAAACTGTTGACCTAGGAATTCTAACATGCTCTGTTACTATTGTGCTTGAAAAAAAGAAAAAAAAATCAAGTAAAAAATAAACGGTTCAAATAACAAGAAAGGACATGAGAGAATTTGTTGAATAAAAATAAATTTGGGAAATTCCTGGCTAAAAGTTGCAAAGTTTTTACAACCTGCTAAGTTACAGGGGAAACAAACTGAACAGCTAATTAGACAAACGTAAGGGAAAATTTCCTGCCTAGCGAGTTTTTGCAGGCAATTACRCCACATGCAGAATATCCAGCATTCCCACAGTACTAAAAAGGCTCCTCAACAGCCTTTTAACGAGGTTTCTCTGCAGCACGGAGGGGTCGAGGGCTGACCCCGCTCATGGATCAGCAGCGCTAACACGAAGCCACGCGGCGCGGCAGTTTAACCGGGAGCTCCAGCGGGAAACGCTGCTGCCAGGTCAGGTCGTTACCTCCCAGCATCTCCCACRCCTTGCAGGGCTGAGCAAACCCCTCGCCCACGAGGGCACGTTACCACCACAGGGGCCAATGTATGGCAAGAAACCTGGCAGTGCAAGTGCTCTTTATCCCATATATATTCAAGAAGCTGCCTAAAGAGCTTTGGTTATGAGAATATGAGCTCAACCAGCCGGGCAGGAATTTAACTGTTATCTCTTCCCTGACCTTGTTCTTCCCATTTATCCCCCAAGCACCGGGTGCTGCTGAGCGGGCACAGAGCAGCATCCCATGGCAGGAGCCAACACTACCAGGAATGGGAAGCAGTGCCGGGTATCTCTCCTTGCTCCCTCCCTCACGTGCACTTGCAGATCTGTGCTGGACCACCTCTGCTTTCTTTAGATCCCATCCCTACTTTTATTTACAAGCTTAAAGACATGGATTATGTGAGAAGGGGCTGCTCAGGYCAGCACATAACTCAAGTTTCTCCCTCCAGGGCAGGGGCTGTGTCACACTGCAGAGAGCCTCAGCTTCCTGCAAAGGGAACAACATTGACATTATCAGAATAATACATATTTACCAGCAAGAGATCAAATGGCTGTATTCTTAATAGGGATAAAGATGCTCAGAAAGAGAGCTAGTAGATTGCTTTCCTGACTCATTGTTTTTGATGAGTTTTCTAATGAAACTTAYAGAAAGAATGTGAAAACTATGTGAAGAGAGCTTACAAAGGTTATTTAAAGAGCATTGATAGTTATGATTTCATCACAACTTAGGGAAGGGAAAAAAAAATGAAAGAAAACACACACACATAAAGCATAAAGCACAAAACAAATCAGARCCACTGAGAAAAATCTAACACAATGTGAACGGTATCCCCATCTTGGAGCCCTAGAAGYGATCTGGCCCTTACCTGGCACAAGGGTTTACCTGAATGTCAGCTGAAGAGCACAAAAATCTACTGTGAAATGATGCAAGAGACAGAAATAAGATGGATGGACCGTCAGATGCTATATTAGCTGCCATGACTAAAGCAGGAGGGGTTGGGGAAGTATTTAGCTATTAACTGTAGCATATTTTATAGAGGAATATTTGAGAGAAAGAAATAAAAAAATGCTTTCATAAGTATCTTTCATGTAAAATAAATGTAACAAAGTGCACTGTGTTATGTTGGAGTAGCACTTATCACAAGAGCACTGAAGTTCACCAAGGTATTTCTGCTAAAACACCACTCACATTTCTCACAGGCTGTCTCAGTGTTTCTCACAGGCTGTGCCATTCTGTAGCAGTCCTTGGCATTTTTAATAAACAAACATGCCTTGTTTCATTATTTTTTTTCTTCCTCTCATTGATTAAAAAAAATATATAATATAAAGGATGCCAAGGTGTGCCTGAGCAGCCAGCCTCGCTTTGTGTATCCACATTACAGGAGCACTTCCCGGTTCCCAGCGGCATGACTGTGCACAGGAGCACCGGGAAGGGGCAGGGAGCCGGGCTCTTCCTGCAGCCAGCCCTGCCCACCCAGCCGGCCACGCGAAGAGCCCCTCGGAGCACATGTCACTCCCTGTCTGCTTTGACAGGGAATTTGTCATTTAAACAGAGCCAAAAAGCACACAYGTGCAACAACCGCCTGCAACCTCATGGGAGCCTTCCTCCTCCTCCTCCCCTGCCTCATTCCCTAGGCTCCCCACCCCTTTTAYGGATCAAGGTCCTTCACACTGCACAGCAGTCTGCTGGTTTCAGCAACGCCTCGCAGGATTGCAGGCTGAGGCCAGACGTTGGATGGAGCCTCTKGGGGTTCCAGGAACGTGCAGCTTTCCTGCCTGATCCCAGCTCCACGCTGCCACTCCACCAGCAGTCCCATAGCACCTACAGCAATGCTTCCTTCCCAGCCGGCAGAAATACAGCAGCTTCCTGAGCGCTGCACTATGAAGAACATGGCTGAATTCAAGGAATACAGCTGCAGAACTGAGCTCGCACCCTTTGGGGACACCCAGGAAGATCCATGTTAAAGCTGCACTTGAGGACAGACAACCAGCCCTCCAACGAGGTTACYGAGCATATCACAGCTGTCTGTACCATCCTGCAGGCTTCTCTTCAATCAAGCTAGAGGCCAAGGCTATAATGAAAGCCTTGCTAGGATGGCACCTGTCCTTGAATGCCTTAATARTTATTATTTTCTTGTTTTCCTTGTGCACAGGAAGACTTCTATTAATTGATTCAGTACCCGAGCAAAAACCTGTTCCCCATTGCTGAGGACAAGCCAGGCAAGAAGGTCCCCACCTGAGAAAAACTAACAAGGGGAATTGTAGCCAGGGTTGAGTTAAGGTGAAGTCCTGGTTATCTCTGAATTTTAGGTATGAAGGAATGTGACTTACAAGTGCTTTGGTCTGTGCTTTTCTCAGAGAACAGAAGAAAGGTCTCAATCACGGCCCGGGTTTCCCRGTTCTCTCTGTTCTGCATCCAATATCAGGGACTTCTTGTCTGATTTCTCAGGTTTACAATTTGGATAACCTGCTTTGGATTTGTGTGTTTAGATGCTTTGCTATACACACTATTACTTGATCCCTTAACCAATGTGCTGAAGGCAACTCATCAATAAAACAAGAAAAGAGTTCCCAATATGCACGATAAGTCACCTCTCAAAAAAATAAAATGATTACAAATTCAGACCGCTATCAAGAAAAATCCCATGTCATCTTCCTTCCATTATATTACCAACATTTCTAGCCAACACAGAAATTTTCACCTCTGCAACTGCTAACCAGTTAGGGCTCCACAGTCAATGGTCTGTAACTTACACTAGACCACGTTAATTTCTGTTAGACACCTCTAACCACAGGATAATACCTAAAGGAGGCTTGGGGACTTTACAGAACAAGAAATCCACCAGGAAACTTCCAACATTCCTCGTATCTCCACCGCTCTTCACCATGTAACTGATGCCACAAGCTTGCAGCAAAGGCAGCTGCACCCTGGGGACAAGCTCTGCTCTGCGGCGCACGGGGAGGCTGAATCATGCACAGGTCACAGCTCTGTCCGCAGCACAAGCTGCTGTCAACGGTACCACGTCCACTCTTAGAAATCATATTCTGTCAGTGAATAAGCTACATGGAGCAGTTTCAGCTAGAAGAATCTGAATTAAAACCATCAATAAAACCCATAAGGAAACACATCAACTTTCTTTTGTTCCAAGAGCCATGRGATTTCCTTTAAGATTTAGGGTTATTCTGCTAGCATCATTCACCACGCTTCAAAACACGTGATCCAGGGACAAATTACATACTGCAATAATTGACAGCCAGGTAATTTGAATACCCTATAAAACCCGCTGTGTACAAACCCTCATGTCTGAGCAGTGATGCAATTTCTTACTGAAACAGCATGAAAGGGTCGCGTTTCCTATTTAACCACCTGCATGGAAAAGCAACCACACACACACACACACACACACACACACACCTCCTACACAGAGACACACACCACACCTGGGATACTGGAGGAAAACAGCCCACACCCAGGATATTGGAACATCCCCCTGCAAGGGCATTGTGTTGTTTCAGCTGAGCGGTGCCTCCCGCATGCAGTTACAGATCTTTGTTACAGAATTATACGGGCTATTTCGACAGCAAATAAATAAATAAATAAATAAATAAATAAATAAATAAATAAAAGCAGCGCTTGCCAGGGCTGCGCAGAGCGCACCCGGGGCTGACACCTCGCGAGCCCCGGGCCCCGCCGCGGCCGCCAGCCCCGGCTCGCCCCGCC